CCTTCCTTCCTTCCTTCCTTCCTTCCTTCCTTCCTTCCTTCCTTCCTCCCTCCCTCCCTCCCTCCTTCCCTCCCTTCCTTCCTCCCTTCCTTCTTCCTTTCCTTCCTTCCTTTCTCCCTCCCTCCCACCCTCCTTCCCTCCTTCCCTTCCTTCCTTCCTTCCTTCCTTCCTTCCTTCCTTCCTTCCTTCCTTCCTTCCTTCCTTCCTCTCTTTCTCTCCTTCTCCCTGTGTCCCTCCCTCCCTCCTTTTCTCTCTTTCCCTCTCTCTCTCTGTTCAGTGAGTTAGGATGTGGGGATACCAGCTGAGCATGTGGAGAGGGAGGACAGGGACGCTGTGGGTCTAGAACGGAGCAGAGCCACTCCACTCTCAAGGTCACGTGCTTACAGTGAGACATTTTGGGATGATAGATTGTATTTTGCCAGCCACAGCCACATTCACCTTGGCTGGGTTCAGGCACATTGTAAGCGGGAAGCTGGGTTCAACCAGAGTTACAGTTTTCCCAGAGGAGCTCACTAAAAGGGGAGAGGGGCACAGAAAAGGAGGCTGTGTGTCAAAGAGTGATTTGAGGTTGGATCATGGCACCTAAGGGAAAGGAAAGCATGAGTGAGATGGGGGAAAGGGGCAGATGGCAGGATGAATGGATCATGGGTCCCTGTGGAATTAAAGCAATACTGAGGTCAGGTTAACAGGAATGAGGTAGGGCGTGGTGGGAATGAGATTAAGAGCAGGGCTATTGTGCTTGCTGACCATCAGCAAGCGTGGCTGAGATAGTGAAGAGGATGAGACCACTGGCAGAGGCCAAGAAACTGAGATGCCAGGGATTTGGAAGAATCGTCCATGCAGATGTTGGGTCTATACAGGCCCAAGGTCACCAAGGATTATGGCAGCAGCAGGAATAGCGATGTTGAGCCTGGAGTTAAGACCCACGAGGAATAAAGTGGCCCAGATTGTACAGGATCTGCAGCAATGATGGGTGGTCACCCACAGTGATATAGGCTAATGGCAGAAAGCTACTTGTGGGGTGCTTTAGGGAGGATAGGAAGATAGGAAGGGGCCGTGAGGAGCACGGAGGACACTGACCTCACCCTGGGACCCAGGAGCATGAGGTGAAGGAGAGCAAAAGCCCCCGCTTAAGAGAACTGCAGAGAAAGCAGTGTCCTCGGAGAACAGGCAGATGTCAGGGAGCGTACCACGGTGACGTTCAGAGAAGCTGAGCACACAGGGGCTTGTGCTGATGCACAAGTCGTGCATTTCACGGGCAGGGTGGAAGGGTTATGGGATTTGGAATGAGTGGGAAGTGGATTTAAAAGGTCTTACAGGCTGGGCGCGGTGGCTCAAGCCTGTAATCTCAGCACTTTGGGAGGCCGAGGCGGGTGGATCATGAGGTCAAGAGATCGAGACCATCCTGGTCGACATGGTGAAACCCGTCTCTACTAAAAATACAAAACATTAGCTGGGCATGGTGGTGCATGCCTGTAATCCCAGCTACTCAGGAGGCTGAGACAGGAGAATTGCCTGAACCCAGGAGGCGGAGGTTGCGGTGAGCCGAGATCGCGCCATTGCACTCCAGCCTGGGTAACAAGAGTGAAACTCCGTCTCAAAAAAAAAACAAAAAAACAAAAAAACAAAAAAACGTCTTACAGAGTTGAGATTCTGGGTGGCAAGGAAGGACCGGGGCATCGTGCGCGTCTTGTGGCGACTGGAGTGAACAGGGATAAGATAAGGCCCCAAGAGGCTGTACTGGAGTCTGGGTGCTGACCTTGGGGGAAGGGGAGGAGGCCAGGAGTCTTTACAGGAGCAAGTGGAGATCTGGGATCTCACTCCTTGGTGGTGGGAACTAGGGAGGGTTTTTTTTGTTGTTGTTTTAAAGTTTTTTTGGCTGTAAGTTTATTCAATGCAAAATAATCTTCTCCAGTTTTACTGAGGTGGCTCACCACGACCATGACCAAATCCGCCTCTAAACTGGAATTCGGTTGCTGACCCAGCCCCAGCCTCGGCTTTCTTGTCGGCACCAGGCCGCACAGCACTCCACCTGTAGGTATCTCTGTCGGCTTCCTCTCTTGTGAGTCTGTGGGCTGCTCACCCTCCAGACCTTCAGGCAGAGGCCTGCCTGTCTCTGGATGGCTGTGGCGCAGGGTGACAGGCACAATCTCTGCGGGTAGATGAAGGTAGTCATGGAGATACTGGATACCCTTCTTGGTAAGATACCAGGGAAACTGTTCCCTCACATAGCCTTGGGACTTGAGAGACTGCATGGCCTTCATGACATGAAGGTCGGGCATGTTCTTGTCTGCCAGTTCCGGGTGCTTGGGCATGTGGGCATCCTTCTTGGCCACCATGACTCCCTCCTTAAAAAGGAGTTCATAAATAGCAATCTGGTTCTTCTTAGGCATCAACATCTCAGTGACTGTAGGGGGCCAGGGCAGAAAAGGAAGGAGATTTTTTTTTTGGAGGGGGGACAGAGTCTCGCTCTTGTTGCCCAGGCTGGGGTGCAGTGGTGCAATCTCAGCTCACTGCAATCTCTGCCTCCTGGGTTCAAGCAATTCTGCTCAGACTCCTGAGGAGCTGGGATTACAGGCATGCACCACTACACCCAGCAAATTTTTGTGCTTTTAGTAGAGATGAGTTTTCACCATGTCAGCCAGGCTGGTCTCAATCTCCTGACCTCGTGATCCACCTGCCTCGGCCTCCCACAGTGCTGGGGTTGCAGGTGTGAGCCACAGCAGGCGGCCGGGGAGGGGTGTTTTGATGGAAAATCTGGGGTCCCTCCTCTCTCATGCCAAGAAGGTGAAAGCAGCAATAACCGGATAAAAATTGCATCCTCTAGGATAAACAGAGAGCTCCTTACACATTTTGGAGGTGGGTAAAATCAGATGACTTCACAGATTAGAGAAAGCTGGTGGGAGTGGGGGAATAAGAGGAAAGTCGTTTTTACCCTAGAACCCCAGAAAGGTGGAGAGGAGAAATGGTATGTCTTTTTTTTTGAGACAGAGTCTCTCTCTGTCACCCAGGCTGGAGTGCAGTGGCGTGATCTTGGCTCACTGTAACCTCTGCCTCCTGGATTCAAGCGATTCTCCTGCCTCAGCGTCCTGAGTAACTGGGATTACAGGTTCGCCCCACCACACCCAGCTAGTTTTTGTATTTTTAGTAGAGACGGGGTTTCTCCATGTTGGTCAGGCTGGTCTCGAACTCTCGACCTCAGGCGATCTGCCCGCCTCAGCCTCCCAAAGTGCTGGGATTACAGGTGTAAGCCATCGCACCCAGTGAGAAATTGTATGTCTTGACGCAGGGTTGAAGTGGGTGCCAGAAACCAGAGAACAGGTCAGAGCTCTGCTTTAAGAATCACTTAGACTCCTAGATTCTCTGGCTCTTGTGAGACTGAGTGTAGGTTAGCTGCCCACATCCTGTCTTTCCTCTCTCTCAACAGCTGTTGAGAGCTTGAGGTAAGTCTCTGATGAGGGTGGACACAATCAGAGCCTCCCAAAGTGCTGGAATGGCAGGTGTGAGCCACAGCAAGCGGCCGGGGAGGGATGTTTGTGTGGAAAATCTGAGGTGCTCTGCTCGGGCCACAGGGGGCCACAGAGAGACAACGTGTAGTGGGGGCTTGGGTGGGAACAGACATTGGGCAGTGAGATCCCTTTGCTCTGCTTCAGTTGGTGCCTAGAACCCTGGGTCCAGGCTTACACCCCCAGGGAGGGCAGCTAAGAGTCCTTTCTGGAGAAACAGGACTGTGAAAGAGAAAAAAAAGGAGCCATGCTCTGCCCAATCAGCCTGGAGCCCACAGCACCCTGCGGCACGCACGGGGCTTCTGGGCACTTCCATGCAAGTGGGTGGCGGAGAAGCGGCAGAGGCTTCCAGAAAGCTCTGAAGAAAGACAGAGGTAAATGAAAGGAGAAAACAAAAGATATGACGGGCACTTGGAGGACACAGAAAATATGTAAAGCTTCGAAGAAGTTCAAAAGTTAAAACTTTAATATTTCCAGGGAAAATATGGCTTGCCAAAATAAAACATGCCGTGCTATAAAAATGAACATTCAGAGAACACATGGACCTTTAGAAATGAGAAATATGATCGTGTATATTGTAAACATTTGAATAGAATGTAACTTTGAGGCACTTTCCCAGAGAGTAGAAATAAAGAAAAATAGATGACAAACAAGAGAGAGAGAAGATAATCACACCAGGCTCAGTCCAGTAGGTCCGAAATAGGGACTGCAGGTGTCAGAGGACAGCCCTGTGGGGGTGACAGGCCTGGGGCAAGGCACAGAGTGATCTCGAATGTGGCAAGTTGAGGCGCCTCTTGCTCAGCTAGTGCAGAAAACGAGAAAGGTTCACTTTCCTCTAGAGGCTGCAGCCATGTTGGCGGCGGTAAGGACAGCACAGGGCAGTGCTGTGCTGCAGGGGTGGCTGATCTGGGCAAAGCATTGTCAGGCCCCCAGTAATGACACAGGACTTCAATTCCTGGGTGGTGGAAATGCACAGAGGTATTGTTGGGAAGGGGTGTATCAGGGGAACCAGCTAGGAGGTGGGGACTGAAGACAGGACCCCTGTTAGGTGGCTGACACACTGGTCCGAGTGCCGGGGCTTGGAAAGGGGGAGGAGACACAACAGGGGAGGCCTTGGCAGAGTGTGGCTGAGCAAGGGGAGAGGGAGACAGAAACGTCTGGCTGTGGGGTGTTACATAAGATTGATAAGAGGCTATTGATTTAGACTGAGCTCCTGCCCTCAGTCCAACAGCCCAAACCAAAATGGGGTCACCGTGCTAAGGTTGCACATCACCAAGCTGAAACCACACTGTTTGTCTGCCCTTCTGAGAAATTAGGAGAGACAGATAAGAGCCAAATCCCTGAACAGGCCAATTTTGGCCAGCACGGAAAGGAAGTCCCCTCTGCTTTAACCTTTACAAGGAAGGTAACTGAAATGACCAATTTGCTTTTTGTTCCTTGTTTCTGCTTTCTTCAGTCTTTTGCTGTCTCTGCAGCTGCCTGGGTTGCAGAGTGGAGCTCTCTAAACCTCTTCTGGTTTGGAGGGCTGCCCAATTTCCACATCGTTTCTTGCTCAAATAAACTCTGTTAATTTTATTTTGTCTAACGTGTTTCTTTTCTTCTTTTCTGTTTTAGAGACAAGATCTCACTCTGTTGCTCAGGCTAGCCTGCAGTGGTGTGATCATGGCTCACTGCAACCTCAAACTCTTGGATTCAGGCAATCCTCCAGCTTCGGCCTCCCAAAGTGATGATATTACAGGTGTCAGCCACCAGCGTTCCAGACCTAAAGTTTTTCTTTTTTTTAAAATTTTTTTGAGACAGAGTCTCACTCTGTCACCCGGACTGGAGTACAGTGGCACTATCTCGGCTCACTGCAAACTCTGCCTCCTGGGTTCAAGCGATTCTCCTGCCTCAGCCTCCCCAGTAGCTGGGATTACAGGCACCCATCACCATACCTGGCTAATTTTTTTGGTATTTTTAGCAGAGATGGGGTTTTGCCATATTGGCCAGGCTGGTCTTGAACTCCTGACCTTGTGATCCACCTGCCTCAGCCTCTCAAAGTGCTGGGATTACAGGCGTGAGCCACCTCACCTGGCCAAGTTTTTCTTTTATCGGGGGCTATAGATAGGAGGAGGAGGCAGGGAGGAAGGATCGTCATCAGTGACCCAGGCTTGGTGAAAAGGCGCTGCAGGTGCTGGGCTTTGCTCCCATAACGGGGTGCGGTGCAAACTGAGGGTGGGCAAGTAGAGGGCCTGGGAGGAAAGCCTCAGCTCTGTAGGGAGGATGTGGCCAAAGGCCTTGGATAAAGTTCTGGCTTTTTCTTTGCAGGGAATGCAGAGGTCCGGGAGGAGCTCCTGGGAGCCCAGCCTTGTTGGAGACTTGCCGCCCACCTGGGGTCCTGTGGCTCAGTGGGAAGCGTCTATGGGCCTGGGGACTGTGCGGAGCTGGGCACAGCAGAGATCTCCCTTGATGCGGCATATGCCGATTCCTTAAGACCCTGAGATGCAAAGAACCGGGAGAAATACTTGAAATGACTTGAATCTGTTCTCCTACCCTGTCCCTCTCCTCCAGCAAGCCAGCTCCTGGCCTGACTGAGTTGTCCTTGCACCTTTTACTCAGCCCCACATATGGTTTTTCCCATGTGTCCCTTCTTCCCAGTGGCTGTTTACCTCCTGTGTCCACCCTCTCTCCCTCAGGACTAGAATGAGGCAGAGTCCTGGGATGGTGGCTTTAGGGAGTCCCTGGAAGGGCAGGTGGTGGGAGGGACTTCCCAGTTGTGCAGGTCAGTGTTTCTGATGGAGGGATGGGGGAGGGGAAGGGGAGAAGGAGAAAGAAAGAGGGAAGAAGGGGAGAGGAGGAAGGAATAGAGAGACAGGGACAGGGGAAGGGGGTGGGGTGGGGAAGGTAGGGGAGAAATGGAGAGGGACAGGGATGAAAAGGGCATGGGGGGAAGCAGAAGAAAGAGAGAAGAGAAAATACAGAGACAGAGAAACGTGGATGAGATTCCTGTAAGTTTGCAGCTGAAGGACAAAGGTGAGCCTGTGTGACATGTCAATGGATCTGCTCCATGAAGCCATTTGGAGAGCCCTGCCGATGGTAATTTCCACCTCCATTCTCTAGCCAATTCCCCTCTGAGCCTCTATCCTGGGCAGAAGCTGTTCCCTGTTCCATTTGCCCAAGTCCAACCCACACCACACTCACCACCAGACGAGCAGGGCTGACAGCACCAGGCTCTTGGCTCCGAGGAGTCCACAGAGCACAGAGAGCAGGGCGCTGGGGGCTGCAGGGCCAGGGCGGAGCGTGGAGTTCTGTGGCCTGGAAGATGGAGGGACAAGAAGGGGAGAGGATGGGCTGGGGAGGCAAGTCTCCGTCTGCCAGTCCCTGCCCGGAGCTGTGTGACTCTGGGCGTCCCACGAACTCACTGTGAAGGGGCAGCGATGGTAGATGGAGACTCAGGGGCTTCTCTGGCTCCTTCAGTGGGAGGCACACAGCTCTGGGTCTGGCTCTGTGAAGAGACCAGGTTGCGGGGAGCCCAGGTGGTCCATGTGGAGGCAGAGGCTGCCGGGGAAGAGAAGGGGCCGTGGTTAGCGAGTGGGAGACCCCACCTGTGCCTGCCAGCAGCACACCGTGGCTCCTGGGGTCACACTCAGCTGAGGCTGTGGGTCCACAGAGCACTCATCTGGCTGGGCTATGGTGGTGGTGGCTCTATTCAAGAAGCAAAGCAGTTACCAGCACATTCAAACAGTGTATTGAACATCTTATAATATCAAAGTGGGAAACGAGAAGGCAACATAATGATGTCATCAGAAAGATGTTAGGAAGTAAGGACAGCTGTGTAAAGCTTGAGGCTGAACTACTGTGCTCAGAGCCCTTGGGGGAGGTGAGGAATGCTGTCCCTGGAAAAGCGATGGGGACTACTGAGGTC